GGAACAAGCAATGAACACAGAGCACAAAAACATGGCAGTAAAATAAGAATTTTATGAAAGACTAGCCGAAACCAGTTTGGCTCAGCGGTAGAGCGTCGGTCTGCGGACTGAAAGGTCCCAGGTTCGACTCCGGTCAAGGGCATGTACATTGGTTGCGGGCACATCCCTGGTAGGGGGTGTGCAAGAGGCAGCTGGTTGATGTTTCTCTCTCATCGACGTTTCTACCTCTCTATCTCTCTCCCTTCCTCTCTGTAAGAAAAATCAATAAAATATATATTTTTAAAAAAAAAGAATTTTATGAAAGACTAAAGCACAACCTGAGCTAATTTTAGAGGAAGGGTAAAATTTCAATAAGCAGAGAAGGGGAAGAAGGAAATGCCATAAAAAGGGAAACTATGAATAAATGTGGCAGGGTAAAAGGATGTTTGAAGAACAGTGGAGATATCAGTTCGACGAGAACAGAGAAATCCTGTGGAAATTAAGAGGCCACCCTATAGAGGCTTTGATGTTTTATGGTAGAGATAAGATCCAACTGCTGAAGACTTTTGAGCCAGAGAGTTATATAACAAAAGCTATATTTTGGAAGATCAATCCGGTGATAATAGAGTTGATAAAGAAGGGATTGTATGGGGTAGGTCAGGTAAGCTACTGTAGTAGTCCCACGTACCTGAGCCCCATACACTTAAGTATATAAGTCAATGTAGCTCAGGTTATTAAATTTTATATACATCTCTTACATACAATATTGAATTTCTACACTGATTCTAGAAAACTTGAAGTTACACACAATTTTTTTTTTAACTTTCCTTCCTATATTCATCTTGGTTAACTTCTGGCTTGGAGTTTTTATTTTACCTTTCTTCACCCAATCTTTGCATTAATAAGACTCATCATCAAAAAAAGAAAAAGACTCATCATCATTCTTTACCTCTTTACCTAGCAAAATCAACAAGATTACATGCCATTGCTTAATCAGAAGAGCACTTAAAGCAAGTCCCACTTTGTTAAAGCAATTGCTTTCTATCACATATAATAATAAATGTCCCCAAATTTTCATGTTTTATTGTCAAACTTTCATTCTTGCAGATAGATTAAACCTACAAAACCAAAACAAAATGAAAGTTAATTATCCAGTGAACCATCTAAAGAGCCTTTAAGAGATTGGCTGCCATAAGTATTATGAAAGCGCAAACTACTTTTGTTTCTTAGGCCACACATAAATGTCCCTCTTCTAGAAAAAGGGCAAAACCAGCTAAGTTTTCAACATTTCATAAATTAAGGTAGTCTTATTCTATCTGATTTCCTAAAATGAGAGCTTTATAAAGTATTAACTTTCCTTTAATAATAAAAAAAAGTCATCCAAAAGGTAGATTACTGAAATAGTCATACACATGCCCTATAGAATATTACCCCTGACTTCTAGTAAATTAGACTTTTGAAAAGTTATAGCACATATATCAACTTGAAAAGAGAATGATTCCACCATAGCTCAGTGGATAGAGCATCAGCCTGCAGACTGAAGGGTCCAAGGTTCGATTCTGGTCAATGGCTGGGTTTCAGGCTCAGTCCCCAGTGAGGATCATGCAGGAGGCAGTCGATCAATGATTCTCTCTCACTGATATTTCTATTTCTCTTCCTCTCTGAAATCAATAAAAATATATATTTTTAAAAAGAGAATGATTCGCCGAAGCCAGTTTGGCTCAGTGGTAGAGCGTCGGTCTGCGGACTGAAAGGTCCCAGGTTCGATTCCGGTCAAGGGCATGTACATTGGTTGCAGGCACATCCCCGGTAGTGGGTGTGCAAGAGGCAGCTGATCGATGTTCCTCTCCCATCTAGGGACCTAGGATTAAGCAGGAGATAGTGTCCCATTTTGTAACAGAGTCATGTCTCTGCTTCTAAGACTTTCCATTTCGGTGCAAAAATGTTACCACTTATCAGTGACCATTGGAATCCTCCAACCATCAGTCCAGTTTCCTCCTCAGAGAAGCCCTACCTATGCCAGCTGATTGGTTCAGGGCAATCAGACAACAGCCCAGAACCTAGTAGTCATCAAGGAACAAAGATTAGTGACCACGGGGGTAGGGAACCACAAAATTAACCAACACAGATGTCCAGAAAGATACACTTACTCAAAAAAAAGAAATGCTTTCCCTGGAGATATGCAGCAAGGAATAGAATTATTTTTAATTCAAGGTAAACAAAAATGCAGGGTTGAAACTGAGAGAGCACAACTCATAAGAACAAACTCGGTTAAGTCGTTTTATAACTACCTTGAGTGGGCAAGGGCCTTTTACATAGTAACATTTAGAAAATGGAGCTTATGAAAAATAAATTCGTTGAAAGATGTCCCGTTTCCTAAAAACGGTGCCTAATTTTAGGGTTCCTGCTTTAGTGTGATTCCAATTCGGTGTGAGATTTCAAATTGAAGGGGGGAACGGGTGGGGTGCAGAACCCATGAAATTTTTACCGCATGGAAATAAAAGTATTTTTAAACCTTCTTGGGGGGGGGGGGGGGGGAAGACTTAGGCAAGAAGCAATACGTGGAAATTGTCAAGTGCTTCTCTGCACACCCACCCACCAGATACCATCGCAGCCGGCTCAGGGAGTCTCCCTCCTCCTGCCTTGACAGCTTCACTTTCTTTGAGGTCTGAAGCTGGTGATCACACTGGCCCGTCATGGTATTTTTCAGTTAACAAAGCAGTTACTCAACAGGGGAAAAAGCCACAAAGGAGCAGAGCAACTGCCTGCTGCACCCGTGAAGCAAGTGCAGGATGAGCCCGGGGCCGCCACCGCCGCCTCGGCTCCTCCGTGACGTGCGGGAGGGGTATCCCCGGCGCTCAGGAAGTGGCGGCCGCGGGCGGCTCCGCCCCCACGCGCCTCGGGGCCGGCCAGGCCGCGGGGTGGCGGGACCAGCCGCGACCAGACGGCCGTCCTCGCGCTCGCCCCCCCGCCCCCCCGCACTCCCCTCCCCCCCGGGCACATTGCGCCCCGCGCTGCCTCGCCCGCGCCCCCGCTCCAGACGGCGGACCCCGCGCCCCCGCGCGCGCGCGCGCGCCCACCCTCCCCTCGGGCCGCAACCCGCGCCGCCCGCGCTCCCGCCGCTCACACCCACTCACCCCGACCCCCAGCGCGCGGAGCCCGGGCCGGCTTCGCCCGCCAGCAGACGGGATCGAGCGGAGACCAAGATGGCTCCTCCGCCCCCGCCCCTCTCCGCACCCCTGGCGGGGGGTCAGGGCGCCCCCCTTGCCGCGGCGCGCTCGCCCCCGAGTCCCGGCTAAAAATAGCCGCGCCCGACTATATTTGGTGCGGCCGGATCCCCGCGCGGCGGCGCGCAGCGCGCCCCACCCCGCCCCGCCCCTCCCGGCGCGCCCCGCCGCGCCCCGCCCCGCCCCGCCCCGCGCGGCGCTGAATGGAGCAGGGGCGGGGGTGACCGAAGGGGAACCTACTCCGCTATCTGCCGCGCGCGCCGGCGGCGGGGCCGGGCCAAGCGCCGAATTTAGTAACATCGCCTGCGTCAATCATGCGCCTCGCGTGCGTCAGCGCCGCGCGGCTCCGGGTCCGCTCCCCGCTTCCCCCCCCCCCCCCCCACCTCCCAGCCTTTGAATGGATGCGAGGCAGCAGCGCCCTCCTTCCTGCCCAGGCTGGATCGGAACCCGCGGCAGGCAGCGCGCAGGCTGGGTTCCTCTCCGCCGCCGCCGGGTCAACTTTCGGAGCATCCTCCCACGGTCTCTCCTCTGCGCCACCCTGTCTCAAGGGGGAGTGGAGGCGAAGAAATAGTATATATCTATGTCCTATGGAATCCCGGTTGTGTTTTCAAGTTTCTGGTTAACTAGCTAGAACCTTCTTGGAGTCCTTCCCCCTCACACACCCCAAGATTGTGATAGGTTAAAGAAATACAATGTCACATATGATTTCAGTGGACACACGGGACCCATGTCTGTCTGCATGGTTGCACTCAGAAATGTTCAGATCTTTCAAAGAGGATGCTTTCCAGCTCGGATGCAACCTTAGAAACTAGGCGCTTTTTAACTCTTCTAGATTTTTTTTAGTTTTGTTTTCGGCAAGAAATCCACACTTAAATTCATCGTTTCCAGTAAAAAAAAAAAAAAAAAAAAAAAAAAAAAAAAAAAAAAATTACTCTCCCTCATCCAGTCGCCCAGGCTCTCTGCACACCACTTAATGACAAGTGTGTCCCAGGAGACCAGAGAAAATCCCTTAGGGAGGGGCTGGCTAATAAATCTTGTTGATGGATTTCGAAATGTTTAATTTGGGAGATGGGAAGGGAGGCCTGTCTTCCACCATCAAAAAGTGAAAGTGCAAACTGAGGGTTCCGTCTCAGATGGGGCGGAGGGGGGCGGGGGGGGGGAGACGGGGACATTGCAATAGTCAGACCCGCTCAGGCGTTCAGCACGTTTGTGTCTGTGTTACACACATTTCAATAGTTTCTGCTGCAGCGCGGATGTACATTTAGCTGGGTTACATTTATAAAACGCACACCTTCAGTATAAAGGAATAAAACCTTATCTCCCCAGAGCCATCTGCATCCCTGGGTAAAACCCGCAGCCAGCAAAGGATGGGAGGCGCGGAGGGCCGGCCGGACGTAAACAGTTCCAGAACTGTGCGGCTGGCGGAAAGCGCCGCTGCACCTTAGGGAATCTCTGGTCCGGAGCCTGCCTCCTTCTGCACCCCCTTGCCAGGTCACTCGGACAAGCTGGCTGGCGGAGCTTTCCTTTTCGGAAGAGCTGTCCTCTCTCTTACCCCCTCGCCCTGGCTTCCTGCCTCGAGGCAGCCTCGGAGGCGCGCCAGCAGCACTCCTCCAACTCTGCTCCACCCGAGCCTGACAGCTGGGCGGTCCCGCCTGACCCGCGGGCGGGCCGCCGCGCTCTCTCTCTCTCTCTCTCTCTCTCTCTCTCTCTCTCTCTCTCTCTCTCTCTCTCTCCCCCCCCCCTCTCTCTCTCAGACTCGTGCCCGGGCGAGCAGCGCCACTGCACCGGGGTTGCCAGCGCGGGTCGGAAAGGCCTCCGGGCTGGGGCTGGCTGCACCGCGTAGTTTCCATTGTGCCACCCGGCGAATGGCCGGGCAGCGCGCGCGCGCACATTCACAACACGCGAGCGCGCACACACACACACACTCCCTCGCACACGCGGAACCGGCTGGGCCAGGGGAGGAGGGAGGAGGAGGGTGACGTAGCGTCCCATGGCGTCACATTGACGTCTCGCATTCCAGGCACTCTATGGAGAGGCCGCTAGGGCTCCTGTGGCATAAATGACGTGCCGGGAGGACGGGCGAGCGCGCAGCCGGGAGAGCGGAGTCTCCTGGCTCCCGCCCCCCAGCCCTCCAGCTCCCGCTCCTCCTCCGCTCCCCACACACAGACGAGCTCACACCCGCTGCCTCGCTCGCACACACAGACACGCGCGCACACACGCTCCAGCGCACACACGCTCCGCTCTCTCCCGCGCGCTCACACCCCTCTCGCCCCGCGCCCTCGCGGGTGCAGCGCGGCGGCGCGGCGGCCGGACGCCCCTCCCGGGCTCACTTTGCAGCGCTGACAGCGGTGGCCGTGGAGGTGGGAGCGGCGGCGGCATCCTTGCCCCCGGTCCTGGTCGCGGCCGGAGGAGCCGGGACGCCAGCGGAACCCCTCGGCGGCGCTCTCCCAGGAGTCGGGATCGCAGCATCCCCTCCTGCCAGCCGCTCGCTGCCGCCTCCGGGAGCCGCTAGACTTGGACCCCGCAGCCCCTCCGGGACAGCAGCTGTGACTCCCCCTCCCCAGCGCGGATTTCGGGACAAGCTCTCTAGAAACTCGCTCTAAAGACGGAACCGCCACAGCACTCAAGTACGTATTCGAGATTCTACCGGTGAAGTGGGGGGACTTGTTAAAAAGTTGGCACGCCAGGAAGCGTCGCTCCCGACATGGACAACTTTGAGCGCGGGGTGTTCCTGCCTCGCCTCCTCGCCGCTGCCGCTTGGGTAGCCGAGAGGCGGGTGGATGCAGATCCGAAACTTTTCCCCAGGAGCGGACCCCCGGGGATCTCTGGAGCTAGTGGGATTCCAGCCCCCAACCCCGAGGGGCGAAAAGCCTCTAACAAAGAGGAGAGAAGCGGGATTTGTGCGTTAGCAGCTCCAGAGATGAGATTCAGGGTATTTCAGCTCTAGTTGTCATGGTAATGATGCTCTCGGCGGCGGCGGCGGCGGGGAGTTGCAGCTCCGGTGATGAACCGCAGTCATTTTCCTGCCTTTTTAACTAAGGATTGGACCTAGGGGCTGGGGGGCGGGGGGATGTCCAAGTGAATACCCCTCAGAGTGACCCCGAGTTGGTTGATTGGGAGGTATATAGCTTGGGAGGAAAGGGGCCAGGGCAGCCGCGGCCGCCGGAGTTTGCAAAGGCGCTCGCTCGGAGGATCTCAGGAAAGAGGGCGTCATTGTGGGAATGTGGCTTATTGTATTGAAATGAGCCTGGGGCTCCTCCAGGCACGTCTGCCCGGCCTCGCCGACCTGCCCGCTCACACTTTTCCCTCCGGAGGCGATGGGGTGTAATTGCGGGCTCCCGCGCTCCGACACGCGTGGGGACGGCATCCCTCTCCTCCAGACTTGGCTTCGGCGCGAGAAAGGCATGTTCTCCTCCCAACTGTCAGGACTCGCGCTCTGGGAGAAGTTGCTCCCGAGTGTTTTGATAGAATTGAAAGTTCTGGGTAGAGAGGAGAGAGCGCAGAGCGGTCGTGCCTGCGCAGCCTGCGGAGACCGGCTCCCACGGGGACCTCTAGAACCTGCTGGGAGTTTTGGGGGGTGGGGTGCGGTCGTGAAGTGTCAGCATTTGCTCCTGGATGCCCAAGAACGTGTTTCCAGGCGCGGAGGTCTTTGCCTAGGTCTTACCCCTTCTTGATGCCTCCATCACTCCAAAGGGGAAGAGCTAGCTAGCTGCAGGGAGTTTGGGGGGATCCGAAGTCTGGGGCGGGGGAGGGGGTCGGGGGAGGGCGTTTGTGATCCCAAGAGCCTTGGGGTGCCGCCGGGAGAGACATTCAGGGCGCTTGATTGGTCATTTCATAGCAGATTCCATCTTCTTTTCCCACGACAAAAGACATGTTTTCTAGAACTAAGTTTGGGGAAAAGAAACGTGTCCATCGTGGCGGCCGGGCACAATGAATGAAGTTAGAGTTTATTCGAGTTATCGTAGCCAAACACGATGCTCCCCGTGTGAGTATCAAAGGCTCCTCCTCGAGGCCACAGCAGCCTCCACACCCGCTCGCTTCCCCCGCTCCCACCCACCCACCCTCCCTCTCCCTTCCCTGGGGCCGTGCGCTCGCAGGATCTCTCCCCGCGGTCGGTCTCCTCTCCGTCGGTCTTTCTGAGAATCTCAGTCTTTCCCATCCCGCCGATCTCCTCCACTCGCCCTGCCCCCGCCCCAGCCTCCGCCCCCGCTCCCCTAGGCTGGAAACTCCGCGGAGGGACCGGGGTCACAATGGTGCGTTTCACGGTTTCCTCCGCTCGCTTCGCCACCGGGAGGGGAACACGGGGGTGTTCCTTTCGTCCGCCCACGAGAAAGAAAAGGGGCTTTGACAGAGGCGGTTATTTCTTCCTGATTTACAACCTCGAGGCTCCGTGCTCCCCATTCCCCGCGGCCGCGAGCAGGAGCCACCGAAAGTGTTTCCAGGCGCGGAGGCTTCGCCTAGGTAACCGGACGTTTGGAGGGGAGGGCGGGGAGGGTGTGTGTGCAGAGAGACCCAGGGGCGCTCGGCTGGCTCAGCTGTAGGAAACGTGCTGTGGCTCTTCCCCTCCAACGCTAGTGCCCCAGGAAACGCGACCCTCATTCCCTCAAGTCAAAGGCGGGTCGCTTGAGAAAGGCTCCGCTGGAAAGGCCCCGGGGCAGGGCGGGGATGCGGGCACCTCCTGGGAGAGGGGATGGGAGGTTTCCGGAGACCCCACTGAAGATGGGGGGCGGGGGGAGAAGGGCTGGAAGCACCAGCTACAGCCGTGGGAAGATCCTTCGGTGCTTGTACTAGAGTCAGCTCAAGCTTTTCGTAGGATCGGCTGGGGCTGCGGCTGGGGCTGGGGCTGAGGATGGGGCTGGGGCTGGGCCTGGGACTGGGGTGTCAAGGGAATCCCCCATTTCCTGGCCTTTGAGGGCTCCCCGAACCGGTAAACTCTTGAGTACCTCTCCTTCAGAGAAGCCATGGGCGTGGAGGTTGCAGGCAATGAAACTTACACGACCCTCTGGCAGCCTGCGCACCCCGGAGGATTTGGGGGGAGGGGTGTTTATTTTTGGCTCCACGTTGCCTGGGAGTGGGTCCGGACAAAGGTGGCGCTATAGGCCGGCGCTGGCGGCGGTGGAATCCTTCCTCGAGGCCCTTCCAGCTACAAAGTTTCGCTGGGGCTGTGCGCGGACACGCTGGGCCGGGAACCGCGCCGGCGCCCTCCGGAGGTGCCCTCTCCGGGCCGCCCGGGGGTGTCCAGAGCCTAGGAGTCGCCCACCCTCCAGGGGACCGCCCGCTGGGTGCAGGGGGGCATCCCTCCGACCTCCCCTGCAGCTGCAAACGCCGTCCGCCGCCTCGCCTGGCTTCCAGCACGGGCCTGTGTTCCCTGCGCCCTTTTGTTTGCTTGACCCCTGGCTCCCTCGAAGCGCGCGGCTAACAGACGCAAAGCCCCATTAGCATTTAGAATGAAAGGCTTGACTTTCTTAATTCCTCGGGGGCATTCGCGCATTCGTTCCGGACCTTGTGCATTTCCTATGCTGCGTGGAGATCTGTGTTGAAGAGGTGGGAGCGGGTGGGATTGGAAAATGACTATTTCCCCTTTCGTGCACACTCACGGATCCCCCCACCCTCCGAATCTGGGCGGGACTCTTCCCTCCACTGCTTTTCTTCTGTTTCCTTAACTTCGTGAGCGAGCTCGGGACCAATTGCTGGGGACAGAGGATCGATTTCTGGGCGATGTCAGGCTTTGCTATGTTAGCCTGGGCTCGGTGCCACAGAAGGGCGGTGAGCGCGGCTGGCAGGGACCACCTTTCCCCGGCTACCTGATGCTGCTGGTTTCAAGACTCCAGGCTCCTTAGAATTTTTTTTGTCATTAACATAGCATTGCTAGAGGCCTCCCCCAACTCCCCATAAGCCCCAGGCCCCGGTGGCTCGGCCTGGACTTGCTGTGACCTTTGTTCTCCCTCCGGGTGCCCGCAGAGCCCACTGCGGAAGAGCGCAGCCCGGCCAGCCCCGGCCCGGAGACTGGACCCACCGCGGAGCTGGGCAGCACCGCCACCGCTTCGCCTGGTCGTCCGTCTCCGCCTCCTTCCCTCTCAGCCTCCGCTGGAGAGACCCACAGCCCCACCATTCAGCGCGCAAGATATCCTCCAGGTAGGTCTGAAGGCGCGACCCCACCCCTGATTGCAACCCGGCTGGGAGAGGTGGGTGGGGGAGCCACACTACCAGCGGGCAAGGCGGTCAACTTGCCCAGCGGCCAAGACAGTGCCTGCTGGCTGCGCATTTCACAGCACAGGTGGCTTCCTTGCAGGGAACTCCTCTGGATACCACACCCTGTTGCTACAGAGCGGAGCCGCCAGATTACATTAAGCATTGCATTTCCCAAAAACATTTCTCCTAAGAAAAATACAAATACACCGTAGATTAGGATATTTTACTGTCCATGTCTTCATTGCTGCTCTTCCTTTACATGCAGTTTAATCCTTTAAGAATTATGGGGTCACTTAGAGCACTATATCGAGTATTTTTGTTTACATGAAATCCAAATCACTTGGGTGCAGAAGTGTGGGATTCTTGAAGCCCAGAGGGAAAGAGAAAAAGCATTTGACCTGACACCCAAGGAGTCAATTTTAAGCTGGCAAAAGGAAGGGTGGCGGACTTGGCTTGTAACATCTCTTTATGCATTTTGTCAGGGAGATACCAGGTGCCAGGCCTGTGTAGGCACCAAAGATATGCAGATAAATAGAATTCAGTCCCAGCAAGCTCACTGTGGAGCTGGGAAACACAGAAAGGCACAGGAGCAAATAGGCAGGGATTGGCAAGGAAGAATGACTAATAGGGAAATCCTAGAGGTCTAAAGGGGGGGGGGGGAGACAAAACCTCATGCAGTGTTCTTCCTTTTAAATGACTCGCCTCTCATCTCACTCCCAACAACTGCAAAGCAGGATAGGTAATCCTCTGACTTCAAACCAGTGAGTGTTTTTAAGGCCCTGTTTGAAAAATAGAGGCTTGAACTGGCCTCCATTGCTTCTCACGACAGGCCCACATCACCTTTTTTTTCAAGTCAAGATTTCATCCCATACACCCATGACTCAATCAGATTTGGAAATGTGGGTAAGAGAACGATGTCAGAGGAAACGGGAAGTACTCACTCTTCTATTAGTCACACATTTGACACTAAAAGCTCCACATAGACATGAAGCACCTGGTTTTCCTTTGGTTCAGAAAAAAAAAAAAAAACCAACCACCAGAAATTGCCCATTTTACCACTTACATTTAGCCACAAAGAAAGGGAAATCATTAGGTAAGTTATTCATTAGGTCCAATGCTTCTCAGGGCCCTCAGCCAGCTCAAGCTCTCTGAACAATAGTAAGCACCCTGGGTACAGTCGCTTTGGGGGGCTCAATATAGTCAAACTGGCAGAGAAACAAATACTAAGAAGCTGCTTTCTTTTTGTAGGGCTCCCAATTATTTTGTCATCAGATAATATGTAAACTAACCTGTTATGACAGCTATAACGTCATAAAACAGCCACTGATGTATTTTACTAGAATTGAGGAAAAGTATATTATATATATATGCATATATATATATATATATGCATATATACTGTATATCATATATTGCATATGGCAGAGAGCAGGTTTGGTGGGTGCTATGTTGCAGCTGCTGATCTTTCTCTTTGCAGATGGTGCAAACTTCCCCCAGTCCATTTCCTGGGCCTACTTTCCCACCTCAACACCTAGCTGGCTGAAGTCATCAGCAGGGTTCCAGCTTGTGCAGGCTGCTGGCCCTGTCTGGAAGAGTGGGAAGGGGGTGGAAGAAAAAGCGACCACAATATGTGTGGGTACCCTTAGTTGGCACTTATAAAATGTTAGAACGTGGCCGTTTCCCTTGGCCAGTAACTCCCATGTAGGACACCTTTGTTCGTTTATTTATTTATTTATTGTACTAACTCATAGAATTCATAAATCAGTGTGTGTGACTTGGGAGACCAGTAACCTCTTCCCCCCAAAAATAAACTAACAGGGCATTCCCTGGCTTTCTTTAGGCACCCTTCTCTTCTCCCTCCACCCCTCCCTCCCCCTCCCAACTAGTGGCTGAAGTCACTCCAATTTTCCCAGATCTGGTGTGGGATAGGGCAAGGGAAGAAAGGTGGGCACCGAGGTCCCCAGGAGGCTGGGTTCTGACATCCTGTAGGCCCTCCCACAGTCTGTAAGGGGTTCAGCTCTCCCCCCAGCCATGGAAGGAAGGAAACCCTGGGGTTTGGATCTGGGCTAGCAAGAGGAGAAAAGGATGTCACTTCCTCTGTGTCTCCCAGGCCTAGACTCCAGAGCCATGCTGGGAAAGCGTGCTGCTGACCTCCTTCTGAAAGACCCTTTGCCCTGTCCCCGCAGATATGCCCTGCGTGCAAGCCCAGTATAGCCCTTCGCCTCCAGGTTCCAGTTATGCAGCACAGCCCTACAGCGCAGACTACGCCGCGGAGATCATGAACCCCGACTACACCAAGCTCACCATGGACCTCGGCGGCGGCAGCACCGACATCACGGCCAGGGCCACCACGTCCCTGCCCAGCTTCAGCACCTTCATGGAGGGCTACCACGAAGCCAAGCCCTCCTGTCAGTACCAAATGCAACCCCCGGGGCCGCGACCCTTGATCAAGATGGAAGAGGGCCACCCGCACAGCTATCACCACCCCCATCTCTCCCACCACCACCACCACCATCACCACCACCACCACCACCATCCCCAGCAGCAGCCGCAGCCGCAGCCAGAGCCATCCATCCCGCCCTCCTCCTCCGGGCAGGAGGACGAGGTGCTGCCCAGCACGTCCATGTACTTCAAGCAGTCCCCGCCGCCCACCCCCACCACGCCGGGCTTCCCCCCGCAGGCCGGGGCGCTGTGGGGGGAGGACGCGCTGCCCGCGGCGCAGGGCTGCCTGGCGCCCGGCCCGCTGCTCGACCCGCCGCCGCCCATGAAGGCGCTGCCCGGCGGCGCGCGCTTCCCGCTCTTCCACTTCAAGCCCTCGCCGCCGCACCCCGCGCCCAGCCCGGCCGGCGGCCACCACCTCCCCTACGACCCGACGGCCGCCGCCGCGCTCAGCCTGCCGCTGGGGGCCGCCGCCGCCGCGGGCAGCCCGGCCGCCGCGCTCGAGGGCCACCCGTACGGGCTGCCGCTGCCCAAGAGGACAGCCGCGCTGGCCTTCCCGCCGCTCAGCCTCGCGGCCTCCCCCGCCGCCGCGGCCGGCCTGCTCGGGGAGAGCCCCGGCCTGCCGTCGCCCCCCATCCGGAGCTCGTCCTCCGGCGAGGGCACGTGCGCCGTGTGCGGGGACAACGCCGCCTGCCAGCACTACGGCGTGCGCACCTGCGAGGGCTGCAAGGGCTTCTTCAAGGTGAGCCTCGCCAGGGCCTCCCCCTGGCGCCCCTCCCTCCCCCTGGCGCCCCTCCCTCCCCCTGGCGCCCCTCCCTCCCCCTGGGGCCCCTCCCTCCTCCTGGCGCCCCTCCCTCCCTCCGCAGCCAGCCCCCTGGGCCACCTGCTCAAGGGAGCATAGAAGTGGGTCCTTCCCGATTCAGATCGGAGAGGTGTAATGATGGCTAAACTCTGCGTGCCTGCAGCCCAGCACCTTCACGTCTGTTTTCTCGGGGTGGCTGAACGTGAAGGCCATGACAGAAGGCCCTCCCCGGGTGGATTGGAGGAGCTGTGAGCTTCCTGACTTGGCCATTATCTTAGCATCATTTTTCTGGGGGAAGCAAGCTGCTGGCAGGTTCTCCAAGGGCTCTGGGATCTCAAAAGCGCACAAACCTAATTGCATTTCTCCCCTGACCATCTGAGGAGAAGGGTTTATGTGCCAGGCCAGTGGACATTTGTATCTCATTTAACCCTTGTAGTAAGAGCTAGGACTGTTGAGTCAGACAGACCTGAGATTGGATTCTGGCCCCGTACTAGTTATTTTTTAGGAAGTGTCTTGAAGGTGGATCTTAATTACCCATGTTTCATAAGTGAGGCCATGGAGGCTTGGAAGGGTTCTTCAGTGGCCCAGGACAAACACTCAGAGAGGGAGAGGGAGACTGGATGCCAGCGCATGCTTGCATGGCCCCAAAGTGCACGTGGTCTCACACCTCTGCGACAGTAGAACAGGCCCCTGCCTAGATGCAGTTTGTGACAGCTCCCTCCGAAGAAGATAGAAGCTGGGGTTTCACCAATTCACTCTACCTCTGGGCCACACGCACTGCCAGGTGTGGAAGTTGTTCATGATCTCATAGACCAAGAGGAGAATTTTAACAGGCAGGGAAAGAGGCCCTGTCCTCTTGCTACTCTGCTTTTGCTATTGACTCCCTGGCTTCTTCAGACACTTAATTCTGTGCCACTTTCCCCAATCCCCACACCCCTGGCCATCATCTCGGGCATTTGCAAAACCACAAAGGCTCTCCTGCAGTCATCACTCCCTAGCCTACAGGCTGGGCGGGGTGGAGGGAAAGGGGAAGCTGGATGCTGATTGGGTAATAGGATTTAGGAGGCCAACAGGATGTATCTGGGAGCAGGCTGGACTTGGAGAACCCTTAAATAGGAGGCCTTGATCTGTCCCCTACCAATTGTATGACACTGGGCATGATACTTCTTTGTAGGCCTCAGTTTTCCTAACAGGTGAATTAAGTTCAGAGAAGGGCTGTGAGAATTAAACAGGATAAAACAATTATGAAGGCATTTTATAACTTTTAAAGGATCATAAAAAAACAATAGTTTATTGTAAGTCAAAACTACAAAGTAGTGGTAAAAATTCACGTGTGTGTGTGTGTGTGTGTGTTAGTATGTGTATTGGTTATCATACCCACAAGCAACAGTTAATTTCGATCTGGGAGTAGAAATCATGTGATTAATTGCATTCTGCAGGAAAGTGAGAAAATGCTTATGGAAGGACTTTGCAACCATGCAGGAGACATGTACAGGTCCATGATATGTTAAATGTAGAGCCCTCAGGTTAGCCACTTTTTTAGACTTCACTACTCAAGCTTTACCAGGGCTACTTTCAAGGAACTGCATTCCTTTCACAAATTGGTTTTTATATCATTTCAGTGGAAATGCTGAAGGGCAGTGAAAAAAGATAGGCAAAAGGAGGAAAAGGAAGAAAAACAATTAAGAGAAATGCACGTAATTTCACATACAACCATCCCTGAATAATTGCGAGTTGACCAAAATACAGGAGTGGTAATACATTCCTAGTCCAGAAATGTCAATTAAGTGTTCCCCAACAGGGTTCCTTTTCTGTAGCAATCCCTTGAAAACAAATCTATATTTGAAAGGGCGGGGGGTAGGATGGGAGAGAACCATCCCACAGATCTGTTAATTAAGGGAATGGGAGCAGGCTTTACCCAGTGGCTTTCTACCATTAAATTGAATTCTTTAAAAATGTGACATGAAATGCAGTTAATGATGGAATTCAGTGATTGAACTGTAACGATCTCTCCTTGTCCTTAAACTGTGCAGGCACATACGACTGTGGGAAAGGTTTCAGGTTATTGGAAAAATGTATACCTGAAGCAAAATGCTGCCAAGCACTCAAATTGGCATATAACCTTGAGGACAAATGGCAAGAAATAGAGTTTTAGAAATTACTGCATGTTCGATGAAGAGAACTTCAATCAGAAAACAAGTTTCCTACCCCTAAAGAGTGCTGAGAATTTAAATGCTGGAAACTCAGAAGCGTGTTTGTGTTTTGGAATTTTGCATTTTAAACTAAAATCACCTACAAAGGCAGGGAAAATGTATCTGGCTTTGTTAGATTTTTTTTTTTAAGTATCATATAAGCAAAAATGATCTTCTAAAGTGAAATTAAAAGATGGAGAGGGTGAAAACTGATAAACGAGGGCTGAGAATTGCTGAAAGTAAAGATTGAAAATAAGCCTAGAATTTTGGGCAAAGAAATAGATTACCAATCCCAAATTACCCAGATTTCTTTTCTTTTTTTAGGCTTATCAAATAAATTTCAACTTTCTGCTTTATTTGGAATTGTATAGATTCAGGTAATTTCTGAATGATTTTACCCTAAGAGGTAAATAACACACATCCAGTTACACACGTTTTTTGTGGGGTTTTTAAATCAAGCCTCCCTTATATTGAGAGCATAAAATTATGCTCAGTTATTTCTCCATGTGCCATTTTAAAATTACATCTGAAGAATACAACATTATTTTATATCCAAGCCCAAGTTTTATGAAGTATGTTTTACAATATGGCTATTTTGATGTCTATGTCAATAGTCATTTACGAAATAACCAATCAATGGGAATTTTAATTGAAAATATATGGCTCTCATATTCCTTTCTTTCTCTCATTTCTTTTTGTTTTGGTTTTTCTTTTTTCCTTTCTTGGATGTGATAGTGGTTTTTAGTGTCCAATTTTAGGATTTTGGTTTTAAGTATCATGGCCATTTACCCTTGTAAATATAAACTACAAAGGCTGAGTAAGGGATTTGGGGGCACTTAAACATTATTTCCTATATATTGGAAATAGGTAAATCCTGATTTTTGCTTTTTTTATGAGTTCATCTCTATTGGGAAACAAAGCTAGTTACTATAATATTTGACTTACAAAAGTGATAGCCAACAAAGTACATCCCAGATAATTTTGATTTTATTTTAATAAGGTCAGCAATAATCAGGGGAGTGGAACAAGTAGAAAATTGTTCCCAGAGGGATATTAAAAGTGGAGATAATCTAATCCTCCAAGGTATGATATGTTGACCTGGTAATTTCAGATATGATTTTATCATTCAGACTTGGATGTCTCCTGAGACTTGCTTCAGAACAATCTGAGATGATTTTCATTGTCAGCAGCTAACACTAATAAAATTGTTTTTCCTGCAGGCTAGCGTGTTAGGAAATTAAATTTATCTAATTATACGAATTGCACTGTCGCTTTTCACGTAATTAAAATACATCTTGTCAGGTTCTACCTCTTTCCAGAAACTATTAGTTGACTATCTCTGTATTGTATTTTCTCAGAGAACGGTGCAGAAAAATGCAAAATATGTTTGCCTGGCAAATAAAAACTGCCCTGTAGACAAGAGACGTCGAAACCGGTGTCAGTACTGTCGTTTTCAGAAGTGTCTCAGCGTCGGAATGGTTAAAGAAGGTATGAACATAATGCTTTTTACCCAACTTATATGGATTCTCAGATATCACTGAAAAAATGCTAATATTTACATTAGAATGGTGAATTTTCCTCGTTTTCCTTTCCTCCCAACATCTTGTTGTTACAGTGTATGTTTACATTTAAAAATAGCTGAGGACTACTTTCTAATTTCTCACAATCAATAGAGAGCTTGTGTACATACATCTTTGTTCTATTTAAGAAGGAGACTTTTAGGACTAATTCATCACCAAATAGAAGTATGGAGTGGCTTTTATGCTGCTTGTTTCAACTCTTATTACAATGTTGTGTGAATATTATTCCAAACTTATTGCTGCTTTTAAATGGTTGGTCTCATTAATGATTGCTCGACTGTACAGCGTTTTAATTCCTTTTGTGTGTGTGTGTGTGTGTGTGTGTGTGTGTGTGTGTGTGATTTATGGCTATGCATGAATATCTTTGAAGACATTCTTTCTCTTTTTCCTTTGCCATCAGTTGTCCGTACAGATAGTCTGAAGGGGAGGAGAGGTCGGCTGCCTTCAAAACCAAAGAGCCCGTTACAGCAGGAACCTTCTCAGCCCTCTCCACCTTCTCCTCCGAGCTGTATGATGAATGCCCTCGTCCGAGCTTTAACAGACTCAACGCCCAGAGAACTTGATTATTCCAGAGTAAGTTTTATAAAGTCCTGCTTTTGAACGAATGATCAGGGTCTCTACTCATGATGCTAGTTAATGAGTTGCTTGATTGACTTTGTGCCTGCCACTGTGCTAAACAGTTTTCATACCTTCCCTACATTTCTCACTTCATTTTGCAATTCCAGGGCATCCATTGAATCAAATAATTTTGCCTTACTGGGTCTCTGAATCCCTTAACAAATGGTCTTGACAGGGCTGCATCTGTCATACCCATTGTTGCAGGATTCCTGGTGGTTGTGCCAATGAAAATCTGCACAGGTGAATTACAATTTGCAGATTTCTCTCGTGGTTTAGACAAAGTGACTACTGGTTTTTTTCATATTGTGATCAAACCTTCTGGGTGAGCTTTAAGTTACCCTTAAGCAGTTTACCCAATTGCATTGGCATTGATTGATCATCTGCTTATTCGAGGGATTAGACCATTGATAGAGAGGAGTGGCTCTGGCCTTGACATTAGGAAGACTGGGATGGAACACCACCTCTGCTGCCTCTTAGCTGTGTCACCAGGCTTCTGCTTGGGCCGCGCCAGCACAGCCAAGGGTTCGGCGAGCCTGAGCAGGCGCTACGAAGGATGGAGAAATGATAGACAAAGAGAATAAGCTAGGTCTGGGTGGATCTTCTGTGCCTGGCTGAAGGCCACAATACAGATCCAGGCTGTAAACTGATGGTTTATTTTATAGTCAGGGGCAAACAAGGTAATTTACAATGTTCTTGTAAGTTTCACTTGTTTTGGCAGCACTTGCTGCCCCTCCCACAGCCCACTAGCTACCCAGGAAAGATCTAAGAAGCAGTCACAAGATCAAACTTAATTATGCTTAGAGGACTGTGCCCTCCAAGCTGGGATTTGTTTGCAACTTTGCCAGCAGATCAGTCCTAGGCTTAACCCTATAACCACTTCCTACACCTGCTCTTGGCTTTTTGATTCCTACAATAGACATGATTATAATATTTAACCTCAGATGGATATATTGATCACCAACCACACAGGAAATATGGTTGAGAAAACATTTGAAGACCATAAGTGATCACCAGTATTGTTATTATAGTCAACCAAAACATATCAGCATTCCTATTTCATATGGGATGTAGCAAAATATCATCAGTTTGAATTCTGAAAATTGCCAGAAATTTAGATAACAAAGAGAAGAACCACGAGAAATGATTTTCTAAACAAATGTATAAATACGACTCTCAGGCAGCTTTTAAAAAGGACTTGGAAAAGCAAACTTCTAGTAACACAGAGTCTCACCAAAGATGGAAAGGAAGAAAAAAATATCACAATTATTGGGCAATTTCTGCATGCTAGACATTGTGGTTTATTGTCTCATTTAACTACTTAAAGAACCATGAACTGTAGGGATAGTTACCCTCACTCTAAGATGAGAAAACTGAGAAACACAGATTGCCCACAAATCAAAGAGAGACCAGTCCAGGGATCCCCAGTTGGTTGGTCTGGCTTGGCAGGTCCTACCAGATTTCCCTGCCCAGGTCTAATCAGCATTTCTGGTTGAACAGCTGGGAAAGAGCGTGTGAGTGGGCCCATTGTGTGTTCTCCTTTTAGGTTGCAGTGTTATGATTGGCGCACACCTTCCCTCATCCCTACCCTTACTCTGGGCTGGGAAGCCTCTTCTCTGCACCTGATCACAAGACTTCATTGGAGAAGCGTGGCAGATCGTTAGCACCAAAGGTTGAAGACTCTTATTCTGATTACAAGTAGCATCTCTTGAAAGTCAAGTCTCAAATAACAGTCCAACATAATAATGCAGTGGTTAAGGGCTTGGGCTTTGGACCCATGCAGATCTCTAGATTAAAATCCCAACACCTTCATTTAGTAGCTGTATGGCCTTAAGCAACTGCTTAAACCTTTTAATGACTCCGATTCCTCATTGGTGTTATGGAATAGTGATTATAATATCTACTTCCTGGGGTTTGTGAAGATTAAATAAGATGATACTTGTCAAAGCTTTAGCACAGTGCCCTCCCTGCCATCTTCACATGTCAGGCGCCATGTAGCAATGCCATGGAGGAGAGTGTTATGATCTCTATTTCACAGATGAGGAAATTAAAACTGAGAAAGGCTAAAGGACTAGTTGCCCTAGGTCACAAAGCTAATATGCATCAGAAATAGAATTAAAAGCCAAGTGTATTGACCCCAAAGTCTGTGCTCCTAATATCAAGCTTTCCTGCACCTCTGGTTTTGGTGAGAGAGGGTGCTGAAAAAAAGCATTCTGGAATAAAGACCTCCTCCCTAGGGGAACTTTGGTCTCCTCATGCAATTTTTCTGAATTTATGAAGCTATTTCACACTACCCACACTGAGACTGTATAACACAGTCTGTCATTATTCCAGGATATTTGAAATCACTTTTGGTGGTCAATCCAGAGAATTTTGGTGGCTAAAAGTGTGAATTTTTTTTTTGGCCCCAAACTATCCAATTATTGATCTTTGTGGACTATTCAGTTATTCAGTGGCAAACCCTCCCCAGCACTTTGAGTTGTCCCAGCTGGGAACTGTCTCCACACGGAAAAATCAATCCAGCTTGTTTGCTTGTCTCTGCACCATTCAGTGTGTTAGACTAGAGTCATCATCTTCATCAACAAACATTTATCCAATTTAATTGTTAACTTTGTCCAAAATAGTGGATTGACCAGGCCAGCGTCTAGGCCATCCTGATACTACCTTTGGGGCCTGGTTCAATTTTGTAAAGCATATTTATTTTAATTGCATTGTTTTGGAGTCAGGTTGAACCTCATAGCTTGGATTCTTCTGCTTTTAGATAGCTTTACAGAATTATCAAAAATTGGACCCAAATCAATAAATTAAAAGACTTTTTAAAAAATACAGTGAGCTTTCATCAAAAACTTGGATGAAGACAGAGAAGGCATGCTGATCACATTTGCAGATGACAGAAAGCTGGGAGGGATTGCTAATATGATGGATGTCAGTATCAACATTCAGAGTGATTTCGACAGGTTGGAACACGATGGGCTGAAACCATCACGCAGAAAGTTAACAAAAATAAATGTGAAGCTGAGCATTTAGAATTTTAAAGCATGGGAGGGCCCTGGCCCGTCAGTAGTTAATGTTAAGAAGATCTTGGGAGTGTATATACTCGCTATGAACCAACAGAGGACAATGTAGTAGAAGAGAGAGATGCTAAATCACCTTGGGCTACCGCAGTATGGTACCAGGACCAAGTTGGGGGAAGGTACATGGGCTCTGTCCTGCCAGACCACCCTTCAGGGTTGAGGCTAATTCCAAGCTGGGGTTTAAGAGGGATGTGGACATGCTGTGTCTGGAAACGTGTAAGGGATGATTGGATGAAATGACAAAATATGTGCAATTTGTAGGAAGCGAGAAGGTTCGACAGGATTAGGTCACTCTTTTGCTCTGTGGCAAAGAGGACTGTTGCTCCCAAGGACAGAGCTAGAGGGAGAAGGAGGGAGCCCCTTTCAGCTCCCTCTGAAGACAAGGGCATGTGACCATCACACAAATAACTAAGGAGAGCACGTAACAGGGTTTCTCACCAGCAGAGAAGTTACTTTGGATTTTATTAAGTTCCTCCAGTTCTAAGATTTTATGATTCTGGGGGTTTACCTTATTATCCCTAAATGCAAGTGATTATATATACATACACATATAAACATAAGTGTTGTTAAGTAACTTGTTACTTAACAAGATTGAATTTGCTTTGTTCCCTAAAAAACAATTAACCTATAATGAATGAAGCAAAATTAATGTATTGAGGGCCTACTACCTAAGTCCCTTCCTGTGATACAATTTATGGGCTTGGTAATTTTCTTAAGAATGTCCCTCAGGCCTGGTTGGTAGGAGCATTATCCCATACACCAAAAGGTTGCAGATTCAAGTCCCAGGCAGGGCACATACTTAGGTTGTGGTGTAAGGGAGGCAACTGATGGATGTTTCTCTCTCTGTCTCTCCCTTCCTCTTTCTAAAACATAACCTCAAGTGAGGATTTAAAAGAAAAAATGTCATCAGTTGAAACTCATTTTTCATAATACCTTCTCTTTAAAGTTTTATACTTAAATTTTATACAACTGGAGGAGACCTTGAGGTCAGATCATCTAATCCAGCCCCCATATTTTTTTTTTAAATATGTTTTACTGATTTTGTACAGAGAGGAAGGGAGAGAGCTAGAGAGTTTTAGAAACATCGATGAGAGAGAGTCATCGATCAGCTGCCTCTTGCACACCCCCTACTGAGGATGTGCCCGCAACCAAGGTACATGCCCTTGACCGGAATCGAACCCGGGACCTTTCAGTCCCCAAGCCAACACTCTATCCATTGAGCCAAACCGGTTTCGGCCAGCCCCCATATTTTAAGAGGAGTAAATAAAGGCTTCCAGGCAGTTAAGTGACTTGTCTCAGGTCAGGGGCAGAGCATGGGGGATCCAAATCTCACCACTCAAGGTATTTGAATACACCTTTCTGTTTCACCATACTGCCACTTCCACTCAGTGGCAATTTAACTAGGTGTGTGTGTTGTTTTTAAAGAAGCTTTATTTACTTTTTAAAAATTACAATAATAGTACTGTATACCCATTCACTTTTTAAAAGGCAAACCATTTCGAAGTGAAAAACGAAAGTGCCTTTATTTGTGTCTGCCTAATTTCACTCTTTAGCAGTAGCCAATAACAGCAGTAGTGTGTATTCACAATTTATTACATTTTTAATAAGAATGTGCCTTGTCAGGTTTGAGTCAGAAGGTTGATTTGATGCAAACAATTTATAAAAGGTGCCAGCTCCGCTCAGTCAATCAGGCTAATCGAGAAACAAGGAGATGTTTGCCAGGCAGGTGTGTCCTAACCTCCTTGTACCAGCACTCGCGCCCTGAAGGTTGTCCGTGGGTGGTTTTCCTCATTTGTGGGAAAAGAAGGCGGAGGGGTGGTGTTCCAAGTCACAGAGGGAACAGACGTCTCAGAGCGCTCGCCTTGAGAAGCGTTCCTGGCTCTG